AGAGAGAGAGAGAGAGAGCTGTGCATCGTGGTGGAAGCAAAACAGTAAAAGTCAGAGTGAATTCATGACAATGTTTATGTGAAGCGTAGTTAGGATCTTCTTTTGCCGCTGGTTCGGTCAATATTGTTTGGAGAGAGATCCAACCTGCAGCTTTAGAATCACCGCATAAAGGGCGTGAACACAAAGCGCGGACCCGCCGACAGATCAGAATCAGCGAGCTGTCGGCTTTCAGTCCCGACCGTGAGAAAGGCGACATGTAACTGATTCTGATCCGCGGGTCGCGCTGTGTGTTTAAGTCTTTGTGCAGAATCCGTGTTCCTGCTCTCATTTACTGTCTTAGCTGTTTGGTGGTTGTTGAAATTTTGTGAGATGTCACCAGAGATTCTGGCATTTCGGGCAAAATAAATTTATATAAAAAAACCGATTCAGGATTTTAATGAATCGATTTTATGTTATCCAAGCCAGAATCAATTTTAATCGATAAAAGAAAACCATTAATTAACATATGAACATTACCTCTGACGTTCCAGCGGGAAAAAAGGGAAAAAAACCCACCCCTAAACTGAACCATCACTGTAGAAAAGTCTGAGCAAACATGCTTTCAGTATGTGTGACATGCATCCAGAGACTCTGGTGTGAAGAGGAGGCAACTACTTTTGATGACTCATGTTTGCTCTTTGCTCAGCTAGAAGTTGTGTTCCCACTCCACCGTCAGCTTTCCTGTTTAACGACATAGAATGAACATGTGGACGGCAGTTATTAGTTGAGCTCGTGTGACTAATCTACCATCTGCCCAATATGCAGGACTCTAATCAAGAGTATGGTGACTTCACACTGGGCAGATGGAAATCAAAAATAATGCCATTCTCTAACCGTCCTTTGTCTCACACCTCTTCTCGCCAAGACTTTGGCATTTTCCCTCTGCAGTATTGAGGACTGATGGTGAACATGAATGTTGAGAATGTGGACATGAGGAAGGAATTGTACTTTACACTGAGGCTGAGTGTGTGTGATCCTGAGCTTTCGTGTTTATATTTCTTCACTTCCTATGACTACACTGATTATTCATAGATCCAGTCCTAACAGATGCATTTGTTATGCACTAAACGTGTACGGTTTTCCATCTGGAATGGTGTTTCTTTCAATTTAGAGTTTTTAAAATCTCCTGTCAAGAGTGTTTTTTGTGTGAAACAAGATGATTATAATAACACTGCCAGAGGATAGTTGGCACAGTGTGGATACACACTTTGAATGGGAAGAAGGCGAAACAAAACGATGAATTCTCTCTCAGCAGACACCGGCGACTTCTGACTCCCCAAAACAAAGAAGATCTAATTCCTCCGACAGCGTAAGATGTCAATCTTCTGGTCCTTTTGGGTTTTGGCTCTGTCCTCTACTGGGGCATTCTTTGTAGAGGTAGATGGGATCCTTTGAGGCTTTAGGAACCCTTTTGGAATAACATTAACTCAGATTATTCATTTCCTTTTCTAAGTCCAGAAGCTTCAGTTTGTGACTGTCTCCAGTCTGACAGCAGCATACTAAAATAGATGCATCATTGTTCAACGTTAATATCTTTCTCTGCCCTTCTGACATTAATCTTCTAATTATGAACTATTTCACTACTAAACATCCACCTGCTGATCGATGACGAAAAAACTGCTACTTCGGTTTTCCAGTGTCGCTTTATTAGCTCACATATAATTATGCTAATGGGGTCATCAAATATGTCTGGGGGCTTATTAAGGAGCGAGGACATTCAAATTCGGATAAAACTTCTCCAGCTGTAGTTTTATCTGTTCACTCTAGTTTATACAACATGGCCTCATACTCAAAGTAGTCAGAGTACCTGACA